ATGAGGCAGTCATGCCCCTGCATCCTGTAGTACCAGATCCCTATACCCTGTTATCCAGGATTCCCGAGGGGGCAGCAAGGTTCACTGTGCCAGACCTGAAGGATGCCGTCTTTTGTATCCCGCTTGCACCTGAATCCCAGTTTCTCTTTGCTTTTGAGGATCCTGTAAATCCCTCAGCTCAATTAACCTGGACAGTTTTGCCCCAGGGATTCAGAGATAGCCCACATCTATTTGGGCAGGTCTTAGCCAAGGACCTGGCCTCCTTTGATTCAAGGAAGGCAGAAATCATCCAATATGTGGATGATATACTTCTCTGCACCACTACAGAGACAGAGTGTCAGGAAAATACTCAGGGATTAGTGAACTTTCTAGCTGATTGTGGCTGTAAGGTCTCTCATCAAAAAGCACAGATCTGTCAGCAGCAAGTAAAATATCTGGGCCTTAATCTCCCTCAGGGAACTAGAGCCCTAGGAGAAGAGAGAATTCAGCCCATTCTCTGCCACCCATTGCCCTCTGCTATCAGGCACCTGGGGGGATTCTTGGGCATCACTGGGTATTGCAGAATTTGGGTCCCCAGATGTGGAGAGTTAGCCAGACCCCTCTACCAACTCCTTAAAGAAGCCCAAAGGGTAGGTACCATAAAACTCCAGTGGGAACCTGATGCTATTACAGCCTATGAGGTTTTGAAGAAAGCCTTATTCCAGGCCCCTGCCTTAAGCCTGCCCACTGGAAACCGGTTTAACCTATTTGTTACTGAGAGATCAGGATTGGTGCTGGGAGTACTGACTCAACCTCGGAGAGAAATGCAGCAGCCCGTAGCCTATCTAAGCAAGGAACTAGACCCAGTAGCTAAGGACTGGCCACACTGTCTGAGATCTGCTAGTACCTGAAGCCACAAAACTGACCCTGGGAACAGACCTGATAGTGCATATACCCCATAACATCACCAGCTTACTGAACACCCAGGGAGACCTGTGGCTGTCAGACAGCAGGCTACTAAAATATCAGTTGCTCCTCCTTGAGGGCCCTGTCACCCAGTGCGGACATGCTCCACCCTAAACCCAGCCACCTTTCCACCTGAGTCCATGAGCGAAGGACCTGAGCGTGACTGCCAGCAGGTCCTTGCCCTAAACTATTCTGCCAGAGAAGACCTAAAAGACACCCCCTTAGAGAACCCAGAGCCTGTCCTCTTCACAGACAGCAGCTCCTTTATTAAGCAGGGCCAGCGGAAAGCTGGCTATGCAGTTGTCACTCTGAGGGATACTACCGAGTGCCAACCACTTCCACCAGGCACGAGTGCCCAGCTGGCAGAATTAATAGTCCTCACTAGAGCCCTTGAAATAGAGAAAGAGAAGAGAGTCAACATACACACTGACTCTGAGTGTGCCTACCTAGTGCTGCACGCCGTGCAGCCGTATGGAAAGAAAGACACTTTCTAAACTCTGAAGGATCACCTATCAAATACCATAATGCCATTTTATTCATAGGGTTCATCATTATCCTCATACTAATATTCAGCCCCTGTATACTTAACCTAATAACACAATTTATTCTGTCTCTCCTAGAAGCCATAAGACTGCAAATGGTGATGGAAATGGAACCCAGGATGGAAATGCCCATCTTCCGAGGCCCTCTTGACTGACCACTGATGGAGACCAACTGCACCCCTTACTGCGCCCCCTCTCAGCGTGAAGCAGCCAGAGCGGTCGTCGCCCCCTTTCCCTAGCAGCAGCGAGGGTCTCCATCTGTAGAGGGGGGAATGAGACGGGGACCATGGGTTTAGGCAGAGTAGGGCGAGGGCCTCTGGAGAAAAAGCTGAGCAATATAATTACAGTCAGAACAATGTAACTGTGCAAAGAAGTTCCTCTCTAAACTCTGTGTTGAGCACTATGCAAAGTCAGAGCTACACTAATTCTCTAGGTACACCAGACGAGGAATATACATATCTTCAGTGAGATCGGTTAAAGCTCAAAAGGCCTGGAGCAACTTGGCTTGGAATGCCTGAGTGTTCTGCAGATAAAGAGAAATGTTTAGCATAACCCACGAATTCACTATATCAATTAGATCATGACACTGTAAAATTTACCTTAGCCTTCTAAAAGGCTTATTTTTAAATGTACCTATGTGCTAATTTCCTTCTCTGATCATAATCAAGTGATCTTCAACCTAGGAAAAAGACTAATTTAGCAAGCAAGCCCAACTATAAACAGCCCAAGAAGTTAAGAAGGAAGATCGTTAACACACTTTAGCAAACAGGCAACAACGCAGCCCACCTTGAGGGCAGGGCAGGCAGTCTTGACTGACATGCTCCCAGAGGGAAGCTGCTATTCTGAAAACGAATCAGAGCAGAAAATTTCTTCTGTTACTCATCAAAAATGAGCATTCTAGGACCACTCAACAAGTCTGCACCCCTAGCCCTTTACCCCCATTCCTGAAAATCCTCAACCGCACATAAAACCCCTAGACAATGAGTCAACCATGGACTCTCTTGTCCCTTCCTGGTGTGAGCCAGAAGTTCTGTCCTCTCACTTTCTCTCTAAATAAAAGCCTGTCCCTTGCTCTCCTACCTTGAGTGTTTGAGAAGCTCATTCTTCGGCTCCGTGAACAAGAACTCTGGTATCACTGGTAAGAACAATTACCAGGAAGCTGAAGCTAGACAACTACCAGAGGGCTGGGGAATGTTCAATCTCTGATGATGAAGCAGATATAAACATCTTGTTGAACACCCAAGGTATTCACTAGAGACCCTCAAAGAACCACACATTAAGAGTAAGGCTAAAACAGCCTAAAGTAAAAGCTACTCTAGGCTGACCCTAATAAAGATAAAACACAACTTTTGAAAGCTAATCAATAAGATTGCTAGAATAAAACTCAAATTTGTTACCTTTAAAGGAAGATAACAAAATCCAGACACTAAATAATACAACCTTCACAATGTCTAGCATTTAATCAAAGATTCTGGGCAGAGGAAAAAGAAAATGTAACCCAAAAACAATGATCAAAAGAAACTGTGTGTGGGGTGGGGTGTGTGTGTGTGTGTGTGTGTTTAGGCAAAGAAAAACCCTGAAAAGCAAGCAACTGATAAATAATATTTAAGATCAAGGTGTCCTTTGAGAGAGATGCAGCAGGATGGGATAAGGAAGGAACAGAAATGAGGGAGATGGAAAGGAGAAAGGGCCCCCCAAAGATGACTCAGGGAGTTGATCAAACAGAACCAGAAAGCCAGAAACGACTCAGAGAGTTAATCAGATGAAGACACAAGGTCCAAAAGTGACTCAGGAAATGTCCAGGGTCCCCCAGATAAGAAATATGAGAGGCGCAAGCACAGTACCATCCCTGTCCCCATTTCACCAATCAGAACAAGCCTAGAGAGATGACCGCTGTCAGTCAAGGACCCCTCTGCCCTGCAAAACCACATAAAAGAAGCCTCAGAATGAGCATCCACGCCTGCCTGTCTCACGTTAGGCAGGCCCGCTCTTCTGCTCTGTGCAGGGTCTGTTAAGACTTACTTTGCTTTCTTGACTTTGGTCCCTCGTCTCACTATATCTAACTTCCTTGTGACACTGAGCAGAGTCCTTTCCTTCCCAACATAGGTAAATATACGTTACTGGTTATTTTCTGGCTTTTGGGTTGGATGGTGTTTATGATATTATTGAAATAAATAGAAGATGTTTTTGAATGGACCAATGATGATGGCACATCATCGACCAAAGGTCATCATTGATATAATCCTATGCACCGGCAATGTGGCAGAGCAGGTGGGTGGGAAGTAAAACAAGAGGAACAGAGCAGAGTTCAACATGCGGGAGTCTCGGGCGGGAAGAGTACAGCCTTCTAGAGAATGAGGAAAAGCTCATGTGGCTGACACAGAGAAGTATCAACAAAATGTGTCTCTCAGGTCAGACTCTTACCAATTCAAAAGAGTCAGTTGTTTAAACAAGAATGTACATTTTAAAAATCACGTTGTAAACTATAACAGTCATACGGTCTGGAATGTTTAGCCTATTTTTAGCAAATAGTTGCACTCACTAAATATTCGTTCATATCCTTTTTTATAATTGTTGTCGGGAGCTGGTCGGAACCGCCAGCCTGGTGACACAGTCCGGGCAGTCAGATAGAAGGGGCTGCACAGCGGCCTTCCCAGGGGAGCAACCCTGATGTCCTTCCTGCTCAAAATGCCCCCCCTAATCAATTTGCTTATTTCGGTTTCAATTCAAGCTGCCCCTTCAGGGAAGAGGCCATATCCAATTCCTCCTGAAAATTTTGGGTACCAGCCCTAAAGGAAATTGGAAAAAACCACTACTGCCCTTGTGACTACCCCCAATGATGAAGAGTGAGACCCCATGAATATTAGACCCAATATTTATGGGGTAAAAATATAGAAGATCTGCCTGGGTCGAGGTCCCTTCTCCCGCCCCTACGTGGCCTCCAAATGGCATATTCAATGATTAGTGGTGACAGGTGGGTACAGAGAACAAATGATATTCTTTGACTAGTCTGCCAAAGAACAGCCCGGCAAACTATAAAACAAATGAGAACAGGGAAATACCTAACTCCAGATCAGAAAAATCTCCATTGTAAGTCTTATTGAAAATGGGTCTGAAGCGCAGTCCATAAAATTTGTCCCTGCCCACCAAAAGGTCACAGTGTCCTTTTGGAGAGAGCCTCTTTCTTTCGAACAGGAAATGAAGAATGGAGATATAGCTATGAAAGAATGAGGGCCCTACATAAAAACAGTAGAATAGTGAACTTTAAATAGTCATCTGTAAAGAAACCAAGAGTCTGGCACCTACCTAACCTTTGCAAGATTTTCTGACCACAATAACTAGGAAGAAGGCCAAGTGATTTAATCTCATTTTCCAAACTCTTGTAAGCTTGCTATGTGTCAAATAAATGATCAATACCTGAACTTTACTTTATGTAATCAAAGAGTATATAAACAAACTGCTACTTTTCATTAAAAGCCAGGCTCAGCTTAACAATTTTGCTAGTGTCTGTGTCCTTACTCATTCAGTCAGTCGCCGACGCCATTCTTCCTTCAGGGACTCCTGGACTCGCTGGAGCTGGACTCCACCAAACTGTAAAGTTCTGTACAAGAGAGTATTATTGTTTGGTTTTCATGTGGAAAAATTAAATAGAAAGAACAAACATGATATTATGAAAAGAACACTTAAAATGAGAATTCTGGTGTGGACAGTAACTAGCTGAATGATATCAGGCAAATTATTCTCATTGGGCTCCATCTGTAACTGAGGATATTAAAACTTTCCAATTGAGTTCCACAAAACCCTCGCATTTCTTGAGATTTGATAGGAGTTTAGTGAAAAAGAATTGTGTAGTCAGGTAAGTTTAGGAAGTGCTACAACCTCTGTTCCCCCACTCAGAGAGGCTTAATGAACAGCAGATACTAACTACTCAGAGAAGCTCTACAGTGAAGCAACCGATGGAGCCTTATTTATTGCATTGTTCCTGAAGCTTATTTGTCTAGGAAACACTTCTCTGTCACTTTCTTTAAAAACAGGACTTGAGACGCACTAGCCAAGATTTATGTGGTCCTTTTCAGTTCTAAAACTAAGATTCTTTCTGAAACCTATACAGTTCAAACGATAGAGCTAGACTTAAACACAACAGTGAGACTCCACTTGTAAACCAGGTTAAAGTAATGAGATGTGAAGTGTGTATATAAATACAGGGGCAGCACCGTGAATGGAGTAAGCAGTCTACGATAGCGTTGCCTTGCATGGATGTAGCCCCCATATTCTTTCTGGATTTGGTTCTTCGTTAAGTTGAAGAACAGCTTGAGAACTTTTACCAACAAAAATTCTCCTGAGTTTTCCCACTCATTCATTTCACAAATGTTGAGTGCCTTCTGTGTGTCCAGCATTGTTCTAGACACTAGCGTGACAGGTGGCACTGAAGTCTTTCAGAATCTTAGTGCAACCTGAACAAGAGCACGTCAACTCTCCTGGACGCCAGCAGGTGGCAGTAGTAGTCAGTTCTTAAACAGCATATTGGATTTAGGAATAAATTGAAATACCACGAACTCTTTTGCTCAACCTACAATCAGAGCTACTCTGTCAAGTTGATGTGTGACCTTGGGACAGTTACTTAACCCCTCTAAAGTGAAATCTCCCTGTCTGAAAAACAGAGATATTAAAGCACCTGCTTAATAAGTTGTTGTGGGTAAAATTTCCAGAATATCTCACCTCACTTTAGTACATCTGCATATTAATAGGTGTTCAGAGGTGGAAATAAGTATGGTTTTAGTGCATTTGCATCATTCCTCAGGGGTGGAGAGAAGTTGTCTCTTTATCAATGGGTAACTACCTGGGCAGCAGAGGGCTTATCTGTACCTGAGAGAATAGGAGTTTAGTGAAAAAGAATTGTGTAGTCAGGTAAGTTTAGGAAGTGCTACAACCTCTGTTCCCCCACTCAGAGAGGCTTAATGAACAGCAGATACTAACTACTCAGAGAAGCTCTACAGTGAAGCAACCGATGGAGCTTTATTTATTGCATTGTTCCTGAAGCTTATTTGTCTAGGAAACACTTCTCTGTCACTTTCTTTAAAAACAGGACTTGAGACGCACTAGCCAAGATTTATGTGGTCCTTTTCAGTTCTAAAACTAAGATTCTTTCTGAAACCTATACAGTTCAAACGATAGAGCTAGACTTAAACACAACAGTGAGACTCCACTTGTAAACCAGGTTAAAGTAATGAGATGTGAAGTGTGTATATAAATACAGGGGCAGCACCGTGAATGGAGTAAGCAGTCTACGATAGCGTTGCCTTGCATGGATGTAGCCCCCATATTCTTTCTGGATTGGGTTCTTCGTTAAGTTGAAGAACAGCTTGAGAACTTTTACCAACAAAAATTCTCCTGAGTTTTCCCACTCATTCATTTCACAAATGTTGAGTGCCTTCTGTGTGTCCAGCATTGTTCTAGACACTAGCGTGACAGGTGGCACTGAAGTCTTTCAGAATCTTAGTGCAACCTGAACAAGAGCACGTCAACTCTCCTGGACGCCAGCAGGTGGCAGTAGTAGTCAGTTCTTAAACAGCATATTGGATTTAGGAATAAATTGAAATACCACGAACTCTTTTGCTCAACCTACAATCAGAGCTACTCTGTCAAGTTGATGTGTGACCTTGGGACAGTTACTTAACCCCTCTAAAGTGAAATCTCCCTGTCTGAAAAACAGAGATATTAAAGCACCTGCTTAATAAGTTGTTGTGGGTAAAATTTCCAGAATATCTCACCTCACTTTAGTACATCTGCATATTAATAGGTGTTCAGAGGTGGAAATAAGTATGGTTTTAGTGCATTTGCATCATTCCTCAGGGGTGGAGAGAAGTTGTCTCTTTATCAATGGGTAACTACCTGGGCAGCAGAGGGCTTATCTGTACCTGAGAGTACATTCGTCACAGCTGATGGATCTACATGGACACATCATTGTCACCCAAAGTCCATGGTTCATGTCAAGGCTCACTTGTAGTGCTGTACATTCTAAGGGTTTGGACAAATGTATAATGAAATGTGTCCACCATTACAGTATCATACAGAGTAGTTCCAGGGGCCTAAACATTTCTCTGAGAGGTGAGGGGGAGGGCTGGTTTGGCTAATGCTGGAACAGAAGAGAGAGATGGGTTGGACTGCATTTTTGTAAGCAATGAACAGGTTTTAAACTTTATTTCTCCCTTTGACTGATTTCGGTTTTTAGAGGTATTTTGCCGTGGGATTTCCTTCCCCCGGACTTATAGTTGTATTGGTGATAAAATGAGAAAAGGCATTTTAAAGTGCTCGACATAGAGGAAGGACTTGAAAATGTTATTATTTAGAATGGTTGATACTGTTCTCTCATGCCATGTGACAGAAGGTCACCTGGCCAAAATAGCAACACAATCAGGTGACTAAAAGCAGTATTTCTTCATACAGCAATAACAATACTAGCAACAGAGAGAAAGATCTAAATAACTAAAAGTACAACAAAAGGAGTGATACAATCTTAAGGTAATTATATGAAAAAAAAGCAAGAAATTGGGCAGTAATTTAAAATCTTGTTTCCCACAGGCCACTTTTAGAGTATGTTGGTTGTCTGATGACTATCTAGTTGCACTGACTCAAAGTAATTGTGAATTACTTGTATATTTTCTATTCACTAGAAGAGTTATTTGGCTTGCTAATGGAGTTCCCAGATTGATAGCCAGGGGACCACAGGACTGTTAGAAAGTGAACAGTTTGACTTAAGCTTAATTGTTTCCCAGACAAAGGAGACAGTTGTTCCAAGACCTCTGGAATGACACAGTTAAAATGAGCCAGAATTCAGAATTTAAAAGCCTCAGATTCAGCTTACCTTACTTCTAGAATTGATATTGGAGAGAAAAACTGGAGAATAGAGATGGGGCTGAAGGCTGGGTTAGGAGGCCAGGATCCTTTTACAGGCCATTGAGAACTGCTTAAGCAGCAAAGATTTCTGAAAGAGATAGCTATTTTTAGAGATATTCTGGATATGCAGACATAGGTGTTTATTGAATAAATTCATCCATATAAGAATGATTAAGATGCTTTGGGGTGTGGTTGATTTCAGTCCAGTCCCAAGAGTTCAGTTAAAAGAGGCGAACCGAGGTACCATTTGTAGTCCCGAACATTCACGCTTTTCCCTTGTAGCAAACATAAGAAATATTATCCTTTTGGGGAGAGAGCTCCACAGTCTGAGCAACAATATTCTCATTTTTATGAAAACTGATGTAATGAAATTGAACAAAGGAAAAATAGAAAAATAGAACATAGACATAAAAATGGTGATGAAATATATCAAGGCTTAGCATCATTAAGTGGCAGCTATTAAACATTATTATTTCTCATATGACTAGATTTTTTTAAAGCAGACTTTATATTTTAGAACAGTTTCAGGTTCACAGCAAAACTGAGTGGAAAGTACAGAGATTTCCCATATACTCTGTGTCCCCCCCCCACCCCCCCACCCCCCACATAACCTCCCTGTTACCAACATCCCATACCAGAGTGGTACATTCGTCACAGCTGATGGATCTACATGGACACATCATTGTCACCCAAAGTCCATGGTTCATGTCAAGGCTCACTTGTAGTGCTGTACATTCTAAGGGTTTGGACAAATGTATAATGAAATGTGTCCACCATTACAGTATCATACAGAGTAGTTCCAGGGGCCTAAACATTTCTCTGTGCTCCCATTCATTCCTCCCTCCCCTGCTGCCCCTGGCAACCAGTCATCTTTTCCTGTCTCCACAGGAAGGACATTCTGCTTTTTCCAGAATGTCACAGTTAGAATCCTACAGCCATACTGCATGCAGCCTTTTCAGATTGGCTTCTTTCCTTCGCTAATATACAGTTAAGCTTCCTCCATGATTTTTCATGGCTTGATACTCATGTTTTTTTAATGCTGTATATTTCATTGTCTGTGTTTTTAATTCATAAATTTCAGATTTGTTATTTCCATGAATTTTTCTGCAGCTTCTCAAGAATACCTTTATATTCTTTAACAGGAATGTATATTAAATACGTCAAATGTATATTAAAACTGAGACATCAGTATGGACAATAGAAGTGCTTTGTGACCTTGCCGTAGATGTTTGTAGGATTCTCTATCAACAAATAAAACAACAGATAGTTTTTATTTAGTTAATATTCTTAGTTAAAACATGAGTTTATTTTCTGAAGTAACTGAATGAGTAAATTATAGAGATGAGAAAGTGTTACACGACAACTTTGCTATTCATACCTGTAGATTTTCTTTTTCCTGTTGGTTGGAAGAGGATATTAGCCACTAGAAGCAGGCCTCATTATATTTCTTTTTAATGGGAAGTTAGCTTGAGTATTTTCATGACAACTTGGGTTGTTAAGGAATCTCATTTATCTGCTCTTTTCACTGTCACCTAAAGCAAGCTTGGAAGAAATGTGAAATTAGTTTTTCAAAATATGTATGTTTTGCCTAGTTTTAAAAAGTTGGGCATATATAATTAAATCATTTGTAAATTAAAAAAAAAACCATTGTCTGGATGTCCCACAATTTATTTATCCATTCATGTACTGAAGGGCATCTTGGTTGCTAGATTTTTTAAATAGAGAACTTGAAAATTTTTCATGAACTGCTATCTTCTCTTTTAACTTGGCTTATTTCCTATTCCCACTTGAAAGTTCCTTTCTGGAAACTGTTCCTGATATAAGGTTCCAAGGAGATAAGCAAAATGAGGGTTACACCGAGTATATAGATATTAATTAAAAAAATACTTATACTCATTAATAAAAACAGTTTGATGTTCTTATTGATTTTGTGATGGATCTAAATGCTAAAAATACAACACACACACACACACACACACACACACCCCAAAGTCCAGTAAAGCAAAGCAGATGAAAACAAGAACAAGTATAGCTCATCAGTCAGCAACTATAGAACAGTAATTCGCTCTTAATTATTGTTCTCTAAGTTTTATGCCAACCTTATTGTGGTATCAGAATTCGAAATCACTTCCAATGACCCCTGCCCTTTTATATTCCTTCCCCTGGAAGGAACCTGTGAATATAGTGGGACATCACTATTGTGACTAGGTCACCCCATAAAGCACGGTTTACTTTAAGAAAGGGCCACTGTTGTTGGTAGGCCTGACCTGATCCGGAGGCCCCTACACAGAACAGCTCTCTACAAGCAAAGGAGATCTGAAGCATGAGCGGGATTTGATGCAAGACAGAGTTTAGCTTTGCCAGCATTGAAATCAAGGGGGGTCGCCTGCCAAGGAATATGAACAGCCTTTAGGAACTAACAACGGGCCCTGGCTGACAGCCAGGAATGCAGACCTTGGTCCTATAATCACAAGGGACTAAGCAGGTTCTTCCCAAGAACTTCCAGAAATGAAAATTCCTGGTAATATATCTTAAAATTCTGAGAGGTCTTTTATCTTCTCTGATTACTAAAATGAAATTCCAATGGATTTTTAGTTTTCATGATGTAATGATCTTTTAAATCTCTCTGATGATACAATTATAGATGTTTTCAAATGACCTTATGGTAACATAATGTACAGACAATGATGTACATCCCTTTTCTGTGCACGATTCAATGGGGTCCAACAAACGCGTGCACTCCCTTCCTACGACCAGCGGCAGGACACAGAGCCTGTCGTCACTACACATTTTTCCCTGTGCCTCTTTCCACACACCTCCCAGCCCTACGCCTTCAGGTAACAGCCGATCTGCTTCTTGTCACTATGGATTAAGTTTGTCTTTTGTAGAGTTTTATATGAAACATTTTCTTAATTGTTTTTATTAAAGTGTCATTGATACGCAATCTTATGATGGCTTCAAATATACAACACAGTGGTTCAACATTCACCCACATTATCAAGTCATCACCCACTCCAGTGCGGTCACTGTCCATCAACTTAGTAAGATGTTACAGAATCACCGACTGTATTCTACATGCTGTACACGTACATCCCTGTGACCGACCTATATTGTGATTGTGAATTATTATGCTCCCTAATCCCCTTTTCCTCTTCCCCCACCCTCTCCCATCCCTCCCCTTTGGTGACTAATAGGCCTTTCTTGGTGTCTGTGAGTCTACTGCTTTGCTTTGTTTTTATACTCCACAAATAAGTGAAATCATTTGGTATTTGTCTTTATTTCATTGAGCTTAATGCCCTCTAGATCCATCCATTCATGATAAATTATCATTATGTACACTTTTGTATCTGGATCATATTGCTCAGCATAATGTTTTTGAGATTCATCCATGTTGTTCCATGTAACATTAGTTCATTCCTTTGTACTGCTGAGCAGCATTCCATTGTTTGAATATGCTACATTTGTTTATTCATCTGTTGTAGACATTTTGTTTGATTCTGGTATTTGACTATTATGACTAAAGCTTCTGTAAATATTCATGTATAAGTCTTTGTGTGGACAAGTATATTTATTTCACTTAGGTAAATGTATACAAGTGAATTGCTGAATGTATATTAAGCATACGGTTAATTTTGTAAGAAACTGCCAAAAAATTTTGCCAAGTAATTGTATAATTTTACATTCCTACCAAGAATGTATGAGAGTTAGGTACCCTATAGCTTCATCAACACTTCATATCATCAATCTTTCAAAATTTTAGCCAGCCTAGTGGATGTGGTGATATTTCAGTATGGTTTTAATTAGCACTTCTATGATGATTCAAATTATTTAGCACCTTCTTATATGCTCACCAACAATCTGTAATGTCTTTGGGGAAATGTCTGTTCAAATGTTCTGCCTATTTTTATCAAGTTGTAAGAGTTGTTTGTGTACTTCATAAAACCATTCTTTGTCAGACACACGTATTGAGAAAATGTTCTCCCTTTTCATTTTTTTAGGAGTCAAAGGGCAGTAATTTTCAAGTTTGATGAAGTTCTCTTTATAATTTTTTCTTTTCTGACTTATGCCTTATATATACTATCCAATAATAATTTTGTCTACCTTAAAGCCCTGAAGATTTTCTCCTGTGCTGTCATCTAGAAGTGTTTATAGGTTTAATTTTTAAATTTAGTTTTTTGACTCATTTAGAAATTAATTTTTGTATGGCATGAGGTAAGGGTAAACAATCACAGTTTTCCATGTAGATATCCAGTTATTCCAGCATCATTTGTTGAAGTTGTTTCCTGTTGAATTACCTTGGCACCTTTGTAAAAAAACTGATAGATCAAATATGTGTGGGTCTATTTCTGTACTTTCTACTCTGTTCCACTGATCTATAAGTCTCTTCTTATGCCAAAATCACACATTTAATTATAATAGCTTTAAAATAAGTCTTGAATTTAGATAATATAAATACTATAACTTTGTTCTTTTTCAAAATTACTTGGCCATCTTCATTCCTTTGGATTTCCATATAAATTTTGGAATTATCTTGTTAATTTCTACAGAAAATTCTGTTACAATTGTTATTGAGATATCATTAACATCTCTAGTTCAGTTTGAGAACTAACATCTTAACCATATTGAATCTTCTAGTCCATGGTTATTGATGTATCCTACAACTATTTAGGTCTTTACTTTTTCTCATCAGTGTTTTTTAGCTTTCATAATATACCTGTTAACACATAGTTTATTAAGTTTATTTCTATCTATTTAATGTTTTTTGATGCTATTGCAAATGATAACTAAAATTTTTTTCATTGCTGTCATATGGAAGTACAATTGATTGTATATTGGCCTGCTGTCTTGCAGTCCTGCTAAACTCACCTATTATTTCTAGTTTTTTGTAGCTTTTTAGGATTTTCTAGTACACAATTATGTTGTATGCAACTAAAGGTAGTTTTTTCTTCCTTTCTGATCATTACGACTTTATTTTTATTTCCTTATTAGAAAGGCTAATACTTCTAGCATAATATTAAGTATAAGTAGGAAGAATAGATATCCTTGTCTTCTTTCTGATTTCAGGGGGAAAATATTTAGTCTTTTACCATTAAATATAATATTAGCTGTAGGTTTTCTATAGAGATGTTTTATCAAGTTGAGGTAATTCTCTTCCATTCCTAGCTTACTGGGAGTTTTTATTATGAACAGGTGTTGAATTTTCTCTAAAGTTTGTTTCTGTGTGTGTGTGCGTGTGTGTGTGTGTGTGTGCATGTGTGTGCATGTGCGTCTGTTGAGGTAATTGGCGTGATTGTTTTTCTTATTCCTTAAGGGAAAATTTTAGATTTCAAATTCAAATTTCTTTAATAGGTATAGGGCTCTTCAGATTTTTCTATTTCTTCTTGAGAATACTGGCAATTTCTGTCTTTCCGGGAATTCATATGTCTCATCTAAACTGTCAAATTTATTGATACAAAGTTATTCATAATATCTCTTTATTATCCTTTTAATGTTTGTAGTGATGCCCCCACTTTGATTTATAATATCAGTACTTTGTATCTTCTGTCATGATCAGTCCATCCAGGGGTTGTATCAGATTTATGGATATGTGTCAAATTTATGGATATGTATCAGATATGGATTTTCACCCCAAATAACCAAATTAGATTTTACTGAGTTTTAACAGTATTTGTCCATTTTCGATTCCATTATTTCTGCTCTGCTCTGTTTCTTCTTCTTACTTTGACGTTATTTATTATTCATAATATCTCTTTATTATCCTTTTAATGTTTGTAGTGATGCCCCCACTTTGATTTATAATATCAGTACTTTGTATCTTCTGTCATGATCAGTCCATCCAGGGGTTGTATCAGATTTATGGATATGTGTCAAATTTATGGATATGTATCAGATATGGATTTTCACCCCAAATAACCAAATTAGATTTTACTGAGTTTTAACAGTATTTGTCCATTTTCGATTCCATTATTTCTGCTCTGCTCTGTTTCTTCTTCTTACTTTGACGTTATTTTATCTTCTTTCCCTCAAGTCTCTACTGAATGCTTAGGATGAGAACTGATAACTCCTCACTGCGGATGGTCTGAGGTCAGGTATCTCTTTGCCTTGTGTGAACTCTAGGAAGGTCTCAGTTTCAACATCCTGGTTGTTTTTGCCTGACCTTGTGGGATTTCACCCGAGGCATTTCTGGCCTAGTTCTCAGGAAAGACTCAAGGGAACCCCTCTGCAGATTTCTGGAGCTCTCTTCAGTATAGCTCCCTCGTCCTTAGAACACTGCCTCACGTACTCAGCCACCTCCTGCCACTCCAAGCTTTACATCTCCTAGACTCTGCTTACAGTCTCCCTCTTTGCACCCATCTTTCAGTTATTTCCAGACAGAAATCTGGGGCAACCATAGTGGTCACTGTGTTTCTCTTTCAAGGATGACAGTTCTGTCCTGTCAGATGTCCAATGTCTGAAAAATAACAGTTTCTTATATTTTGTACAATTTTCTGTTTTTTGATGGGAAAGAATGTGTAATCTTTGTTAATCCA